ATTAAAAATGAAAAGCAAATTATATTTCCGAAGTAATATTGCAAAATAACGCGAATTAATTGCAAAATAACGCGAATACATGAAAAAAAACATAATTTTTGTTTTTCGATATATTTACTCCACCTTTACAATACGGGCAAAATGGGGCAGGTTTTTTCGAAGGAAGAAATATCAAAGAAAACAACTAAAAAAAGTTTAGCTAATTACCTCGTGGAACTTTTTGGAACTAAGTTTCGAAAGTCATTCAAACATTGTAAAATGTCAAATGATAAGATATAAACTATAAGTTTGTTAAGAGTATTAACTAATCCAACAAATTGAAAAATTGTACTATAATTTCAGACTAATTACTCTGATAAAAATGTAATAGTAAGGTGAAATTCCTATATATATTTCTGAAATAAAAATTTAAAAGTTACATTTAAAAAAAAATTTAACATATTTTTCATTACATTGTACTCTCGTCCGTCCAAAAAGTAAATTATAATGTTTAGAATGATTATGAATACTTAATTTGGGCTACATTAAAACTGCCTACACATATTTTAGTTGAAATTCAATTTTTGACTTTTAGCCAAAGATCATGGTCTTGTGGCCCTCAGTGTGACAATAGAAAAAAAAATTATCATTACAAGATACCATTAATACTAAATTAACTTGATTACAAGGCTTTTTTACATTCTAAAGTTGTTTGTCTGTATTTCAAATCTGCTTGCAAAGATTCTAAATCTCTTTAAATACATTTCAAGGCTGTTTATGTACTCACCTTAAAGTTGCGTAATTAAAACCTAAAGTTGTTTAATACATTCTAAGGCTGTTGGTACCCTAAGGCTTTGAATATAGATTTTATGACCGTTTATAATAAATCTTAAAGCAATTAATTCAGATTCTAAAGTACTTTATAGAAATTTCAAAGCTCTTTACATGCACTTCATGACTATATTTATCTTAAAGATCTTAATAAACTGTCTTAGTGGTTTTCCGCCTAATGTAACGCAAATGCGAGTTATCTCCATCAAAAAGACCTCCACGAAGGCAAAATTTCGCCCAAACACTTGATCCAGGAGTTCCCTTGTCTTCTGGATTGGGTTCAAAATTACAAGGCTAGGGTGTTGATCATTGGTAAACGTAAACCAAAAATTTGGTCTGCTGTTCAGAGATGGTTGCAGTCGGTTAATGGCCAAGTCCATCCCAGTCAGTTTACCCCATCTAGATATATTTAGACGTTATATTTCTTCATGAGTTAACTCCCAAGTCCTTTAATCACTTCTTTACTCAATCTAAACATCTTGTTCAGGATCTTCCTCTTTTTCTTTTTTCCTCAGGCGTTTGAAGGTTATTTTTAACAGGATTTTCATTGCTATATCGAAATACCTGTCTCAGCCACCTTATTTGAGAAACCATGATCACTTTTTCTATGTTAGGTTCTTTGAATTTTGATTGTAATTCATGGTTGTAACGAATTCTCCTGGTTCCGTTTTCTCTTACTGCACCGAAAATTTTTATTTTTCTCCGAAAGTCATCAGTTCCTCTATTCGCTGCCATATGAAACTATTGGTTTCGCTCATGTCTTGTACAAGTGTATTTTTATGTCACAACTTATGTATTTAGATTTGAGCTGGTTTCTCAATCCATGAAAACATCTGTTAGCCATGTTTATTCTATTTTTGATTTGAAATTTTATGTTATTAATATCGTTTACAATTGTGTCTAAATATTTAAATTGAGCTGCTGGTTCGAACTCATATTCATTAATTTTCAGTGGTTACAGATTTGTGATTCTGTTAGTTATTGCCATGAATTTAGCATTTTCATTGTTAGTTTTCTCACTATCTCAAACATGCAAAACTACTTGATGTGTTCGTTGTTTTTTGTCCCATGCTCCATTTCAATATAAATCCAATAAAAACATTCTTGCTCTATGTATTTTTATCTTTATCATTTTATAGTTATATTATTTAGATTCTGTGTTAAATTATGTAAAAATTAATTACGCTTAAGCAGTTTTCACTCTACAAAATGCATTTAGTAATGTAAAATAAATTGCCGGGAAAACTTTTGCATGATATTTATCATACTGCAGAAATGGAAAGAACAACTTTCTACCATGAAGATTAATCTATCTCAATATTTATACGAGTAAAAGAGAAATTTTGGGGAATAAAACGCTTTTTCCGCTACTATAAAATTGCTTTTCCATTTAATCAAATGTCATCAATCTTTCATCCGGAAAAATGACTCGAGTCAGATACCATCCATCAACAGAGGGAATATTATGGCATTTCGACATATTTTCTCACCCGCTCGACATAAACTAACAGATGGGCTGACCTTCCATTCCATTTAAATCTAATTTCACTTTGCATGCAAATTTATAATTTATGCATACTTCAGTTTTATATGATTAAATTTAGAAATGTTTTATGTTTGGAGAAAATGTACCTAGCTATATAATTTTTCAATTATTACTGATTAATTTTAATTGTGAATTCTTTAGGTTCCTAGAAATTAAAAATAAGCATAAATCTTATTATTCATAATTATTAATTTTGATATTATAAATAACTGTATTAGCTATAATATACTGAAAAAAAGTATGGTCATAACTTCCAGAATCTGGTAACATTTATTGTGTTTCTGACTCTATAGAAATACCAAAAAGCTTGATAAAGTGCTTTTGTAATGGTTTTTGATAAAATAAACAATGAAATATTGTTTTATAATTTGCGTTAAAATTAGTTAAATGTTTTGAAATTTGTTAACTTTATCATGATGCCTTAGAGCATGTCATAAAAACATTTATTTAGTTAAATTTGCTTTTCAGTTTTGTATTTTTACTATATGTATGATTATAAGAACTACAATTTTTCTGAATTTTTCTGTTGGAGCTTTCTCCTGACCAAACTATTAGGACATATTCAGGGTTTAGAAATCTGAATCCGTCAAAGAAAAGGTATATTCATTTAAAGAAAATACGTTTATGTGTCTGATTTCGTAGCTTAAACTATTACCTGCACTTATTAGTTAGCATATTTGAGGTCACTCTCTCAAGCCATTAAGATTGAATCTTAGAATGTGAAAATCCGATCTTTAGATCAAAGGTTATTCAGGGTGGTCCCTTTTTTAGGCGCACTGTACATCTATTGATGTCTATTGTATTGATTCTAGTTAAGAAATTTTGTTTGAAGTATTTGAAACTTACTCATGCTCAGAGAAGATCCTGGTGTACAAAGTTCAACATTCATCCCGACCATATCACGTGTTAAATTATGGTACATGCTTCTTTCTTCTTCATTTACACATTCATCAATAATTCGTCTTGCACATTCCAATCCGTTCATCAAGTTCCTAATAAAAAATTTAAAAAAATTAACTCACTCTTCAAAATGAAGAAAATAAGATAATGGTGTGAAAATACTTGTTGAACCACCGATAGATGGCAGCGTTTATTGTTAATTAAATTGTAACTGTAACTGTAAAAAGATATTGTTAAAAAGAGACATCTACGCTTTTTTAAAGTAGTTGTAGTTGTAGCTGTTGTATTTAGAAATTTGGCAGAAAACTTTTATTACAAACAATACCTTAAACAAAAGATTAATAACAGTTATGAACTTCTTAGCGGATAATGACTATCTATTAAAATTTTAATAACTTCCCATTTTACATGTATAATATTTTTTTGGTCTTATTTCTTCCTAAATTCCACACTTCCAGTAAAATCTTTTTTTTTTTTTAAATTTTTAAATTTTTTAAATTGTATGTTATTTAGGCTGGAGTGGAGCTGGACCAGCGGCCAAGTCCTGGGCTATATGGTTAAGGGTTTTCATAACCTAGGTACATGCTCAGGGCTTGGAGGAAAGAAAAAAAAAAAAGTTGTAGCTGTTGTAGCCTTTTGTCCTGATTATCTCATGTTACAATATATTTTTTGTTACTTACCCCTTTGTAATTATTGAGTAGTTTTCCTGTTTCTCAAGAAAAATGAAAAATTCACTAATAGTTTAGATAAATCTTCGGTGTTTTTCATAACCCATCAGAATTAATTAAACTCGAAAAGAGAAAAATGGCAACTGAAATTAAAAAAAAGAAGAACATAACTACTCGAAAATGGGATCATGACAACTTAGAAAATTAAGGTAGGAATTTAGGCGTTAAAATTGAAACTAAGAAGATATTACTAAAAAATAAAAAGAATCCCAGACGAAAATCTTAAAAATAAATAAAATACGTCGAGATTCTGTGATAAAAAGGATGGAAATTTGATGTTGGCTACACAATGAAATGCCGGTGATTTCATAAAAAGTAAGAAGAATAAGACGAGATAAAGTTGAAAAAACAAGAAAATGAGACATAAGTTAAATAAAAATGAATAAAATTATATAAGATAAGTTTATATGAAATAAAAAATACGATCACAATAAAGATAAATTTAAGACAAATAAAAATACCAAAAGCAACATAATAAGATATAAAATTTTCCAAAAATGTGGCGATTTTCCAAGTCCATATCTGTGTTAAGTGATAAAAAAGTATGCGTTTTTGCATCTGAAATTGTGGCGTGGTAGAAAATACTACATAATTAGTATATCTAAACTGATCTATAAATATTGCCCTTTAATATTGACAAATAAGATCATAAGTTATTTTGGTGAGTCTTAAAACTTTCATTATTGATAATTTTAACGACTATTTCGATTTTCTAATGACATTTTTGAGTTTTCGAATTTGTTATTGCATGTTCTATGTTGCGTACAGATCCAGCGCTTTGTGATTTATTTTTATCACAAATTTACGATAAAATTTAAAACACAGGCTCTTTAAGTTAGGTTACTGTTAAAAACAACTAATTTAACCAACTTTAATGAATTCGTAATTCTAAGCAGCTGATTTGACAAATATATTTTAAGCTTAAGAACGACAACAAAAGTGAAATCATAAATATACATTTTGAAATCTTTTTTTTTCTTTCTATTAAAGATTAAGCTTATTTCAAGCCAAATTTTAGCTTTTTTTTTTTAAAGTAAATAGTTAGCAGCTTTTCAACTCACATTACATTAAACTCATTTTATTGGTTGCTAGTTCAGTAATGCATAAGTAAATATTACCGCTAAAGCTCAAAATCCATTTATGTGTATACTAACTAAACTGCAGATTAACTAGGATGATCCGTTAATTAGTGATCAAGGTTTTGCGACATTTTAATTTTCTTATTCCTCTTCCTTCCTTTTTAGTTTAGTTTCATCGGCATATTGTCATCACTTCAGTTGTTTATATTTATCACAGTTTGATTCCATTAACTTACAAGTTGATTGAATTATCTTAAATGTTTAGACATCGAAAAATTTATAAACGACATTATGCTATTTCCTAAATTGTAAAAATATGTCAAACCGTTTGATTCGATAAATTACAGTCTTTTGACTGATTGATGATCAATTCCACTAGCTAACTTCGCTGATTGACAAATTTTAATAGCTATAATTCTTTAGATTACGCTATTACCTTAATTTTTAAAATATCTTAAATCGTTTTGATTCGTTGTATAATAGTTTTTAACTGATTGAGGATTAATACCTATCAATTTGCTTGTTGATTGTTTGATTCTTTAGATATTGAAAAATGAATAAACGGCATTATGTTATTTCTTTAATAGTAAAAATATTTTAAACTGCTTGGTTCGATTCATAATATTTTTTTATTTGATTGATAATTGATTCTATCAACTAATTTGCTGATTGCTTGATTGCAATAGCTTGATTCTCTCAATATCGAAAAGTAATTGAAACAAACATTTTCTTTAATTGTAAAAATATTTTTAATCGTTTTGTTCTTTGTATAATAATCTTTTAATTGATAAATGATTGATTCTATCAACTAATTTGTTGATTGTATTAACTTGATTCTTTTGCTACCGAAAAATTAATGAATAACATTTTGTTGAATTAAACGTTATTGTAGTTTCAGCAAAGATCTTGTTTTCCCTTTAAAGAGTGCCTAGTAGGTAATTTGCATATTATTTCTGGGAGAGATTTCTGTATCGTGATCTGTGGCAAAATAATCGCCAAGTTTTGGTAACTTCCGGGCAGCTGCCCTCGCGGAACTAAAAATAATTAAAAAAACGTCACAGAAAAGGACCAATTCGAAAGGTTTAACTCGTAATCACCCCTGGGCAAACATCTACATGTTTAAAAACTTGCAAGCTAAAAATCTATTTGGCATCTTGGCGATTGTAGTTGGCGCGACAGATCACGGTACTGAAATATCCCTTATTTCTGCACATTATATTTGGATAATTTGCGAAATTAAACGGTTATCTTCACTCTAATGGATCATCCTAGTTAATTCATACATTACCTAGATAATCCTCAAAATTACTGATTTCTGCACTTAATTGGTATGTGCACTTACTTGCAATAATCTCGTAACTTCTGTTGAGTGTCTGGAAAAAACATTTGCCCTTCGCTGGCTGACTGCCTTGTTGATGTTAGGCAATTCATCATATCTGTGTTATCACAGCTCGCATTTATCAATTTTGCTAAAAAATAAAACAAATATTATTAGATTTTAATCAAGGACTTAAGTTAGTTCATTTTTAAATTTTGAGCAAAACTTAATAATTTTTCAAATAAAGTTTTATGTTAACTTTAAAATTAACGAATAAAATTTTTTGATATGTTAGCATTGTAACTCGAGTATGCACTTAACTAATCATCAGATTAACTAAGGTAATCCGTTAAAGTGTGGAATCAAGAGTTTTCCGCTAATTTGCTTAGGTAATGCGCGAGTATTAAGGATTCGCGAATCTTTAATCAAGAACTTACGTTAATTTATTTTTAAATTATGAGCAAAACTTAATTATTTATTTAATAAAGTTTTGTGTTAACTTTAAAATTAACGAATAAAAACATTTTATATGTTGGCACTGAAACTCGAATATGCACCTAGCTAATCAGCAGATAAACTAAGGTAATCCGTTGAAGTGTGGAATTATGGGTTTTCTGTTAATTTGCTTAGGTAATACGCGTATTAAGGATTCGCTAATCTTTAATCAAGGACTTACGTTAATTTATTTTTAAATTATGAGCAAAACTTAATTATTTATTTAATAAAGTTTTGTGTTAACTTTAAAATTAACGAATAAAAACATTTTATATGTTGGCATTGAAACTCGAATATGCACCTAGCTAATCAGCAGATTAACTAAGGTAATCCGCTTGGCGAACAAAAAACAAGGGGCGCGCTCAAATGATCAGAAAGTCGGGTCCACAATCGTGGTTGCCGGGAGAAAAGTGTTGCACCAAGCAGACTCCTCAATTCTGCTTTTAACATGTAAAGTCTATGGCGGGCTTGTCATACTTTGAATCGACCAAGGTAATCCGTTAAAGTGTGGAATCAAGGTTTTTCCGTTAATTTACTTAGGTAATATGTGCATTAACGATTTTCGTATCGTTAACAAAATTGAGTTCTGAGAAGAATTTGTAATGCAATTATTAATTTTTAAATTGTTTGGTAAGCTGAATTTAAGTGTGATAGGGGAAAATTGCCTAAATTGTATATTTTCCAAAACGTACTCCCTCTAATTTTTAAAGAATTGTATCGAGAACGTTATAGTGAATAAATTAAGAAGCTTTTATTCATATGGAAATCCATGGAGAAGAATCAAGCCACTATGTGCTAGCGCTAATTTTTTTTTTTTAAGTTAATCGATTTTAAGTTTCCAATGTTAATTTTTAAACACCCTATACAAGGATATAGAGGAACTATAATAACATACAGATTATTTAATACATCGCAAATTGTTAAGCGACATATTATGTTATTTTCACTTTCTTTCTTTAGTAATTAGCTATTGTTTGAGGTTTGTAATAACACATTTGCTTAAAATGTACGCAGTTGCCTGAATTGCACCTTGTAAAAAGTTCTAAACCGTACCAGTGCGATTTAGGAAGCAGGTGGTACGGAATAGGTAATCAATTTCCTAAATCATAATACTTGCAGATCTTGCAAAAACATTTAATTTTCAGTATTTCACAGATATTATTACAAAAAAAAAGTATTAAAATATTTCAAATGTGATTAATTGACAGTGATTTGTGATTGATAAGAATTAAAATGTTAGAGGGGATACGATTTAAACAATTCTCCTCTATTTATTTTTTCCAAAGTCATATAAAAATTTTGACAAACTTGGCACGGAGAAAAATGTCTGTTTTGCATATACATAAATTGATACAATATACGTATTTATACTTATAAGGCTTAATTATGTAAATATATATTTAATGTCACTTTAATAACATCTAAATAATAGCGTGCTACAAATTAATAAAATTTATTGATATACCATGAGTAACAAAGACATATCCCACAAACACGCACAAAACCAATAATGTAAAAACACTTAAACCCTCAACAAACAACAGCCACGCCTAAATTATCTGCACAAAAGAAAAAACTCAATTTTTCTAGTAAATGCATTCATTCATCATACCGTCAGTGAGACCGAAGAAAAACTTGTATTTACAACCTTTTGGCAGACGTCGTAAAAACTATTCGAAAATGTTCTATTGTAAATTTTTTTTTCAGTGTATCATTCCGCAGAATGTTTCGAAGTATTAACTACTCAAAGGTTGTTAACCACGATATCTTATTTTTTGAACGGTCAAGAAATAAATTAGTATTAACATTCACTTAACTATCTCTTTTAGCACGCTAACATATGACATTGAAATAAATATAACTACAGACAGTAGGAAAATAAAGAATTCCTCTAACATTGAAAAAGTTTAATAACTTTCTCGCATCTGCGTAAAGATATGAAGGAATTTTTGAACTTTCGTTTCTTAGAAATTAAATTATTTTTGGAAATAACGTAAATATGCACTTCTTTTTATTTACAAGTTATTCGGAAAATAAATTAAACAAAAAATGTAAAAGTTATTTTAAATAATAAAGTATGCACTGTTAGAAATTAGAGAGATTTTGCATAGAGTTGGTCTTAAGTTACCGGTTTTGCGAAATTTATTCTCAACCATTGCGATTTGCATATACATATATAATTGCGATAGCATTTTGAGGCTTGCGCGAATTTTGATTACGCTATGAAGCGCTATTTTGATTGCGCTATATTAAGATTGCGCTATGAAGCATATGGCGTTAACGTTATAGTTGCGCAAATCTTAGCGCCTTGAAAAATCTCACCATTTAAGAGCGTTTTGAACCATAATATCTTTCAAGTTTGATTCAACCTTAATATGGTGTTAATTTGGACTATATTATCGTATTTTTTAAATTTCTTTACAGTATACCAATTCGTTTCGTATTGTTCGTTTCGTTATATTCGTTTCGTTCAATTTGAACAGAAACATGGACCTAATTAACACCTTGATAAAGTTAACACCAGTTAGCAGCAAATTAACACCAGATTATGGTTCACGGCACCTATATTATGATTCAACACTGAACTGTTTTTTTTCCCTTCAGGATAGAATTAGATTACAGAAAGATTTCCAATTGATTCCTTTCTAAATAAAATCATTTTCGAAAACACAATAAAATGATGTAAAATATAGAAAAATGTGTCTATTCCAGAGTCACATTCTACAATTTTGCTATTTTAATTGTTTTTGTGATAGATGTTTTGCTGTCAGCAAGCTGTAACCAAGTAAAACAGCTATCACAGAAACAGTCAAAATAACACCTAAGTCAAATGGACGCTGTGACTCTTTTCGAAAAATTTTACTATTTATAACACGTTATATTATTTTTTTGAATATGATTTTATCGACAGACCGATAATTGTAGATTATAGATATATTTTATTTAGTGTTGTAATTATTTATTGCTGTACTACAAGTTCCCCTTGTTATTGCTATGAAAACGATAAGCTTTTTAAAATATTAGGCCTTGTGGGTTACATGCTAGTGCTAGATCATATTTTTTGTAACACCGTGAAATCGGAAGAAGTGATTATATTATCTTGATATGTATTTGGAATATAATAAAATAAGAATTATGTATTTTCAAAGTTGTATCACTATTTTAAAAGTCCATTGGGTATGATAAAAAGAATGAGGAATTACGCAACTTTGGCAATCGAGAACTTCGAAATTGATTTTCTAATATTATTAGCATACTGGAAAAGTTGAACAAAATCAATTTTTATTAAAATGCAAAAAAAAAATTGTTTTGTTTTAAGGAAACTCAATTCCAAATATAATCGAATTTTGTCTAATTTTGGATGTTTTTATTTTTAACAATTTGGGTTTTAATACTTAATGACTACGCAAGTGTTGAAATGATAAAAGTATACAAAACATATATATATATATATATATATATATATATATATATATATATATATATATATATATATATATATATATATATATATATATATATATATATATATATATATATATATATATATATATATATATATATATATATATATATATATATATATATATATATATATATATATATATATATATATATATATATATATATATATATATATATATATATATATATATATATATATATATATATATATATATATATATATATATATATATATATATATATATATATATATATATATATATATATATATATATATATATATATATATATATATATATATATATATATATATATATATATATATATATATATATATATATATATATATATATATATATATATATATATATATATATATATATATATATATATATATATATATATATATATAGTTGGACCTAAACATGTTTAATGTAATATGGAACAGCACTCGTAATACGAGAAAAGACCAATTTATCGATTTAACGAGTGAAGTAAATGTAATATCTACGGGGAGTTAATATAATATAAAGCTGCCTATCACTAAACCAGGGGATGGATCAATTATACGCAGTCACTGTAATTATATTTGTAAAATATATAGTTTAAGCTTGAAAGCGGGGAATTTCGAATAGAACTCCCACGCTTACATTTGTAATAGAATTCAAAATTTATAAAGAGATAATGTAGAAATACTAATAATAATTCGTGAATCTATTTAACTAACTCTAAATTAGTTTACCAATGTAGTATTTCCTCATGTTATTAATACGCTTGTAATTTTAAAATTGAATTTTTAATATTAATTAATAAAAATGTTTGCAGCAAAGCACTATAATAAAAAAATTCTTGTAAATTCATATGAAATCATGTTCATGTGAATTCATGTAAATAAAAATTGTAAGTATTAAATATATTGTTTCGTATTAAGTTTTTCTGTTCTTTCTATACCAAAGGGAAGCGAAGGACTAAGGTTCGATCCTCGGGGATGGTGTTATGAAGCCCACACAATTTTAAATCGATGGGTACCAGCTTGCCTGGTACCCATCGCAAGCAAAGTAAGTTAACCACAAGTAAAGTAAGCCTGTGCGTAATGCTGATCACATTACCACCATCATTCCGAAAATGTGGAGCCTTAACCACCCTGGTCTCTTGGCTCTTAGAGGTTTGTTACGGATTATCGACGTTTAT